CTAAGGGATGCTATATTGGGTAGGGCTCCTTTAACGGAGTCCTTTAACAGTGGTTCCTTCAGGGGTACTAGAATGGTATAAAAGGGTTAAAGGGCCCCTGTACTATAAGGGGTCTTAGGTTACGTTTAGGGTTCCTCCGGGTGCTGTACAGTAACTGTTGCTGGGGGGGCGGCTGTTGGGGTTTAGAGGTCCGGCGGTTTAGTGTTTTTCGGTGTCTTAAGTTTTTGTGTTTGGAGTCTTGGGTTTTTGTGGGGCTGCAGATCTTAGGGCTGCTAGATGTAGTAAGGGAAGTGCTGCCTGAGGGCCAGCTGGGATTCTCGAAGATCAAAAATCTTAAACTTTAAACCTCAAGCCCTGAAAATTTCCATTCCGCAAGATCGAAAAAAAGCATTCCAGGAAGGGGGCCGCATAGCACTTCGCTACCGCATCTTCGTGAAAGTGCGGGGCGGGGACTTCGTTCAGTGGGGCGAAACCTCCACCGAGGTCCTGGAGGTGCGGACCCAAAAATTGCATAGGGACGCCTATTAGTCAGAAGAGCTTGGGGAATGTTATACTTCACCTATGAGATTCTTTTGATGCGAGTGTACATAGTACTAGTGGCAAGTCTGCATTCTTGGTTTATTCCCCTACCTCGTGACATGAGATTCATATACTAGCCTTCAAAGCAACAGCCTGAAAAGATAGGTTCCCTAGACCCCCAGTAGACCGAGAGATTTGGCCAGGACGAACATGGCTGCAAGGCCTTTGGCCCTGACGTGCACGACGGCAGAAGCTCGGCAGGATTTCACCAAGTTCTACTGCTTGTAAAGCCTGTTTTGACGTGTGTGTATATGTGCATATATATGTATGTGACCTGAATCCAACAGGTTCGGACCGTTCAAAAATGGGCATCTTTGGTCTCACGCACGAAGAGCTGCTGCGCTCGGAGTGGGTCCTTGGTTCCCAAGATGTCTAGGGGTTTCGGTGAACAAATAGGGTCCATGGGTCAGGGTTTAGGGGTCTACGTGTTTAGGTTTTCGAGCTTTAGGCGCTTGTAGCGTTTGTATGCCTTGGCCGTGCTGTGGGTTCGCACGAGGCATACCCACTTAATTACAGAGCGCCTGCGACGGCATGTCTAGGGCAACCCATCCACCGAAAAGCCATCAACAACAACCCCAAACCCCTAAACCCCTAAATCCTAAACCCCTATACCCTGAACCCCTAAACCCCTAAATCCTAAACCCCAAAACCCTAAACCCCCTAAACCCCTAACCCCCCTAAGGTAGAGGCCGACATTCTGACCGTGAAGTTTGTGCTGGAAGTGCGCCTTGAGGGAGACTGCGAGTCGCGACCTCTGAGTCCAGGAATCGATATACCAGGCTCCGGCTCTTTTAGGGTTTAGGGTCTAGGGTTTAGGGGTTTAGGGTTTAGGGGTTTAGGGTTTAGGGTTTAGGGGTTTAGGGTTTAGACCTTTTTTGGAGGGGGGGTCACAGGATTCGGGCCGAAGTGTTTAGGGTTCAGGGCTTGTGGGGTTGACTGAGGAAGGCCCTGCCAGAGAGCTTCGCTGCCGGCATACACTCCAAGTCCGTGCTTAAAAAAGGGCTTGTGGGGTTTAGGCTTTGTAAGGTTTAAGGGTTCTCGGATTTCTGGGAAAAAAGTGGACTTCGAGCTCTGTTTTGCTTTGATATGAGGGGCCTATGGTCTGGTGGTTACTCGGTATACAAGGCTCCCGTATTAAATTAGGGTATGGTTCCTATGGTGTCGGTTGTGGGATGTATGACAGGGTTTGGGCAGGGTTTAGGGTGTTGGGTTGTTCGGACCAAAAAAGCCTCCAGAAGTATGTACAGCAGGATTTCGAGTTCAAGGCTTGGGGGCTTTTGAAGGCTTTTTCTCTTTGGTTTCAGAGGGCTGGGGTCCTTCCTGGCCTTGACATGAGGCCCAACTATGAGTCAAGACAATCGTGCTCTGTGGGAGAAAGGCACCTGCAGCGATGTCGAGTTCGTGGTGCAGGGATATTCGATCCAGGCCCACTCGCCCGTGCTCTGCGCAAGATCCGAGGTCTTTCAGAAGCAGCTGACAGTCGGCATGCAGGAGTCCATGTCCAAGGTCATCGTGGTTGAGGATTGTGACCCCGCCACCTTTAGAGCCTTTCTGCAGTTCCTCTACACAGACACCTTCCCAAACATCGCCGAGCTAATGGCACAGAGACCGAGTCAGAGCGACGAGAAGCCGGAAGGCTTCTCGCGCATCTCACGTTTGCAGGCATTGCTGGCTGTCAGTCACAAGTATCCTTGTCATAGTTGATTACCATTTCATATTTTCTATGGGTACTTGAACCCAATAAGGAATAAACATGTACATTTCTAATCCTATCCAGACAATGAACTAGGTATGAGGTCACAAGGCTCCTGCGGTGGTGCGAAAGTCAGCTCTGTGACCAGCTCAGCAACTCGGAGGTCAGCGGCATTCTTTGCCAAGCTCATCTGCTTGAAGCCAGGCATCTAGAGAAAGCCTGCCTGGCATTTATCAAAGAGCACATGGTTGATGTCATCAAGCTGCCAGCCTTTGCCGAGCTCATGAGACAGTGGCCCGATACTTGGCTCCTCAGTAGTACCCTTTTACGCTGTAGGAACAAGGGGGAACCTAAACCCCTAATCCCCTAAACCGTAAACCCATTACTACCCTTGATCCTCCTAGGGGAACCTAGGATATCCTTATTACAGCTATAGTATAATGTGCCCCCGAACGCTTTTCTAAGTATTAGGGGCCCCTCTAAGAGGATATCATTATACTATAACTCTATCTAACTATAATAAGGAACCCCGAAGATAGTCCTGCGAATTGTTAAGGCCCCTATGGCAAATCCTTATAATAGTCATCCCTTTAAAGGACCCCTTTTCTAATCATTTCGGCCCTTAGGGGAACTTAGGATATCAAACCCTAAACCCAAACCCCTAAACCCCTAACCCTTATATTGTAAACTCCAAAAAGTTGGAAACCTAATGAAGGGCAAATCGTGCTGGGATTCCCTATACTTTGCTCTTAGGGGTTGAGGCAATCGGGTTTCCAACTTTTAGGCTTCTGCTGTAACCCCTTTAGGGGAGCCTAGGATATCATGCTTCGTATCGGCCTCTTCTCTGCCGGGGTGCCGGACATGGAGGCGGCCGTGGCCTTGGAGACGCAGAGGCGTTTAGGAAGCCAGTGGGGTGTACTTGGAGGATCATAGGACCTAGTAAGTAAGGTTATAAGTACCTTAATTGGGGTTATAGGTATAGTTACCCTAATTATAACCCTAGTTACTAAGTCCCATGATCCTTTAAGTAGGGGTTTAGGGCTTTAGGGTTTAAGGTTTGGGGTTTGGGGCTTAGGGCTTAGGGGGTTTAGGGTTTAGGGATTTAGAGGGTCTAGGGGGTTTAGGGGCTTTAGGGTTTAAGGTTTAGGGTTTGGGGGTTTAGGGTTTAGGGTCTTTGGGTTGGGGTGAAGGATTTTGGGTTTGGGGTTTAGGGTGTAATATTGGGGCCTAGTTAATTACCACTACTGTGTTTTTTTCTTTTTTTGGGGGGGTCCTTAAAATGGTTAGAGTATAGTAGAACCCAGACCCCCCTAATTTATTGTGTAGGCCCCTATATCAGCTTTAACAAACTTGGGCATCTAGGTCAGGGTGGGTTTTCAAGGGGTCAGAAGCCACACGAATGTGTGACCAAGGACACCTTTAAGGGCAATCAGCAAACTGACCACAAGCGCAAGCGCGAAGAGAATGAGTGAAGGCGGCTGACCCACTACCTCAGGAGCATCAAGAATTAGCAAGCTCGTTCCTCAAACCGTTCTTAACTGTGTTCTTGCTCCTGCATGAGCACTCAGTCATAGGACACGGTTCGGGCTCTCAATCTCATGCGGTTAGGTTCCCACACACACTGTGGAACGAGGAGGTAATTCCTTCCCCGTGAGGGTATGCACCCGCCGACTACCGGACTAGGGCCGCGAGAGCCGCTTTAGTGCTTGGGTTTAGGGGTTCTGGGTTTAGGGGTTTGGGGTTTGTCTCGTTTATTTAGCTCGTCAATTACTGGATACCCCAGCAGTACGCTTGAAGAGCAACTTAGCACTGGCCTGTTGCACCCAAGTTATTCGGCAGGCGATATAAATCGACCATGCAATGACTGCATGGCCGGGTCGTAGTAGTGATGAGGGTTGAGGAGCGAGACAATGAAGCTGGGTGCAGAGTGCAGCATGGCACTTCTGACTGGTGTTGTCAGCGGGTGCAAAAGAAGCCCCCTTCCTGCTTCCAGGCCTTTTCTTGGCAGGGGTATGAGCTAATGTATGAAATTAATCAACGAATGAATGGAAGGGAAAGGAATGGAATGACATGCATCTTAATGACATGAGTGAATGAATGGATGGATGGATGGATGGATGGATGGATATTTGAATGGATGCAGGAATGCAAGGAGTAGAACGAGTGGAATGGATGAATGAATTGCATGAACGATTGACATGTAATGTGCTGAAATATTAAATGATTGAAATGGAAAAGTTTCCGCTGTTTTACCGTAGGAGCGCCGTAGGATACCTTTGAGGCCAACAAGCAAGCCTATATCATGACCTCTGCAAATCCGCTACCCTGAACCGGTTTGGATCTGGGACTGTGGTTTTAAGGTTTGCGATGGGAGGTTTGCGAACTTCAGGGGTGTTTTCGGGATTACCCAGATCTCTTCAACGCCCCAAAAAACCACCGACCCTTTCGTAGACTTTATAACATCTCAAACCCAAACCTCTCGACTAAAGCCCTCCAACAACCACCGACCCCACGCCGCCACACCTCGAACCCTAAATTCCTAAACCCAACAAGCTTTCAACTCCGAGTCCTTCTCCCCTATTTTAGGGTGTTTAGGGCTTCGGGTTTGGGGTTTAGGGTTGTTCATGAAGAAGCCGGGGGAAAGGGGGGCTCTTGCTGTAACCGGGCTGCTGGACAACGAGGCCTGCTGCAAAAAAAAGGGTTGTTCATGCACCCCGCAAACCTTGAGGAGAGCCTTTACATCCTTCAGAAGCACCGTCGCGTGGCAGAGGCGCTGTTTTGGGCCGGGGTTCTCCGGAGGGACCATATTGCCCCTTCAATCGAATCAGGTTTTCCATGAGGGTTCAGGGGTTCAGGGTTGCATCATAATGGCTTTGTGTTTCGCAAGGTTTGACTACCCTCTACACGGCTCTTGCGCCCTTGAGCTGCGGAATAAATCGAGAATATTCCAACCCTTCTATTCATTACAAGGTAGTTTTCGTGCGTGCCAATAAGCAGCCCGACAATCATTCAAGGGGTTCTCTTCTGGTAAGTGCGAAGCTGGGGTTCAACCAACACACCTGCGTCCGCAGGGTTGGCCGACAGACCCATTACAGAGCTCCAAACCTTAACTCAAAAGGCCCTCAAAGCGTAGCACAGCCCCTGGACCGGCGGTCACTAGCGCCCGCAAGCTCAGACCATTCTGAGGATGCTGTCGTAGGGTTTTAGTACGCTGCCTATATTTGGCTATGGTTTTTGTTCTGTCCCCATAGGGATCTTACAAGATGTCAACGGGAGTCGGGGCATCCCAACGTGACATAGAAGCCCGGAATCATTGTCAAGAGGTTCCGGACACAACTAGGACCTAGAGCAGGCGCTCATTCCCTTTTTTTAGGGTTCATGTTCCCTCATAAGCCCCTTCATCGGGACGACTCCTTCTCCGAAGCTTCAGACCCTTAAGCTACAAGTACCTAGGAACTCTATCCGTAAGACTTCATCTCTGGCATTTCGGCGCGGAATTTGTGGGTAAACCATCCTGGGCCCTGGGAGATTGAATTTGAGAATCCCGGCTGCGGCTTACTTGGAGGATCATAGGACTTAGTAAGTAAGGTTATAAGTACCTTAATTGGGGTTATAAGTATAGTTACCCTAATTATAACCCTAGTTACTAAGTCCCATGATCCTTTAAGTAGGGTTCAGGGTCTTCAATTTCAGTTCTGGTGGAGTTTGCCGAGTCACCCACAGATACAGAGCCTCTGCAAATTGGGATCCGACGTCGCCTGTCCCGAAACGATGTAAATTCCAACATGCTCTTGCTCCACGGTGTTAGTGGGGAGGCCTTGGCGGACCGAAAAAGCAGGGATATCAACAAAAACAACCTAAACCTTAAAACCAACAAACCTAAACCCTAAACTCCTAAACCCTAAACTAACCCGAAAAGGTGGACGACGCTTTCAAGCTGCATCAGAGGCCTCTCATCTTCGTGCCGGAAGAGCCGTACCTCGGCGACGGTTTAGAGTTCAGATTTGTATGGTTTAGGGTTTAGGGTTCCTGAATCAAAGGTCATTCGGCGGTTGTTGAATCACGCATCATTCCGGGTACGAGGATTCCTTGTTGGGTGTGGGTGTGTGTGTGTGTGTGTTCTTATTCTGATGCTTTTCTGGTTTTCCGGGTGTGGGACGGCAATCGCCCCCTTCAGGCTTCGGGCTTGAACTGAAGGTCTGTGTGTTCAGGATTGCAGTCAGGGTTTACGGTTTCTTAAACTCCAGACCCTAACCTAAACCAGGATGTCTGGTAGCCTCAGGGCGTTCGGACAGCTTTGGTTGAGAGTGTTCGTGGGTTCCTACGCGTGGTGCAGACTTGTAGTGCCCTGAACTCTACGGAAGTTTCAGACGAGGGGACAGTGTAAACATCGACCTTCAATAGTAGGATCCCGAAACAAAAGCACGACTAAATATGGCGCACCTAACTTCCAGAACGTCGATGACACCCTTCCAAAACCGTAGAGGAATCCGTATAAACAACCTTAGGTATAAACTGTAAGCCTCTTTAGATATTGTGGGTTGCCCTTCGCCGGAACACTCTAAGGAACCATTCAAGGAAGCCCTAAGAAAAGAACTAAACTCCAAACTCAACAGAAGTTTCCAAAACCCTAAACCCTATCCAGTTTCAAGAATCGGATCTCCAGTTGCCCTTCGGACGTGTGCCCTGTGCCTATTGAAACCAGACTGCAGCCCTTAACATCGGGGCCCGGGGGGAGAGTTTAGGGCTTAGGAGGGTCTAAGGTTTAGGGTTTTTGAATTACAGTGTCTCCATTGTAGTTCCTTTTTTTTGTTGACCAGTTTTATGGTTAGGATCCTAAAATAGGGGTTTTGGTTTCCCAAAAGAAGGAATTACAATGGAGACTCCAGGTTCACTAGGAATTTGCAGATCTTTTGCCAGGGTCTCTTCAGGGCTATACCTTAGAAGCTGCCCCCACCCTGTAATAGTGGTATAATAGGAATATAATAGGGCCCTAATATAGTATTAATATAATCCTTGTGGTCACTATTACAGGGTGGGGGCAGCTTCTAAGCTATACCATGCCTCGAGCAGGGTTTTGGCGTATAGCAGCACCCTAAACCTTGAATAGGGTTTCTGGATGTTAACAGTTTGGAAAGACCCGTCCCGAAAAAGCTTAACCGTAGGATTGTAGTTTTTTGGCCTCGGGGCATGTCCTAGTTTTTTTTGTAGTAACTCTCTGGCCGCTCTCTGTCTCTCTCAAACAGAAATCAACACCACTGTTCAAGAAGTATATCCAAAGAGTGTGGCTTGTAGCCACAGTAAGTAGGTCCTGTGTGGCTTAAAGCCTCAAAATGAGTAATCTCGGGGCCTACACAATTACCTATACTATTTTGGGGGTTCCTTTACATATATATATATATATATATAGAGAGAGAGAGAGAGAGAGAGAGAGAGAGTATACTGGGCCCAAAAACCCGATTCTAATTATTAAGGCCCCTAGATTAATCGTGGGTCTTGGGCTCTTTCTGAAACTTCCCCGGTGAGGCGCCTGACGAAGTCTTCACAGAAGAACAAGAAGATGCATGGCAGCCGGGCTATACCCAATATAGGGGCCGATAATAATTACCTGGACTATTTGGGCTCCTTATAACAATTTTGTATCGGCTATATGGTATAGGCTCCACTGTAGTTCCTTTTTGTGGTTTACATTTAGGATACTACAATGTGATCCCAAAAAGGAACTCTACATGGCAGCCGGGCTTGAGACCCTCTTACAACCGCCGCTGAGGCTCGTAGCCCTAATCCCTCGCCGCCTCGGAGCCCTACAAGACAGTAGCTTCTGACCCGCGGAGATGCCGAGAGGGGCCGCAATAAATAGAAGAGGGCTTGGGGGCATTTTATACTGTATTGGTAATATGGAAGCCCCAAAAACGTATTTTAATTAGAAGGCCCCTACATTATGCATGAAGTTATGGCCATAGGTGCAAACTATTAGAGTCCCTCGGTCGCCTCGGATAGGCCGCACGCTAACCCGAGCATTTCGAGCTCAGCCTTTTGACTCTAGGGCTTAAGGTTGCCAAAGTCAAGTTCTGTTAGTTTTAGGGTTTAGGGTTTCAGAGGGTCCTGAACACCAACCTCACGCCTTCGTCGTGGGCTGTTTAGAGTTTAGAGGCCTGCATGCGAAGTGAAGGTCAGCCGATCGCAGCCGAGCCCTGCATTGAACAGCCTATCTCAAATCATAGAGGCTTATTACGTCTTAGGTTACATGTGCTTGTTAGTGGAAATCTGTGTAAAGGCCCATGTCTAAACCCTGCAGTAAAGGCCCAAAAGTTGGAAAGCCAATAGCTTCAATCCTTGAGTAATGTATAGGAAGTCCCAGCACCTTTTGGCCTTAATGCGGTTTCCAACTTTACGGGGTTTACTGCAAACCCGAAACTGTGCTCCACATTCCTGCAGGAACTGGAGCCCAAAAGTTTGCTTAGGCGTAGGGCTTAGAGTTTGGCAGCGAACTCAACTCCCTACAGTACTAAATGAAGTTGTATACTGAATATCACCTACGTAACTTTTGTACTTATATATATATATGTATATATATATACACATGCATATATATATATATAAGAGTGGCTTGATGCGAGGATTTAAGACACAACTCCCGAATTAGGGGTATTCGCCTCCATGGGCTCAGGTGTCATGAGTGTGTCTTCTTGCGCCTCTGGTTTCCTTACCTTTGGTTAGCAGGGAATGGAAGAATGGTAGTAATGGTAGTTATAATTGTACCCCATTCCTCCATTCCCTAACCAAAGGTAAGTTTCTGGGTTTCGAACCACCGAGAGACGGAGGGAGGCTTCGTTCATTAAGGGCTATAGGGGTCGGAAAGGGTCGGAATAATTACCATCGTATTCCTTAACGTGCGTTATTGCACCCATAATGCAATATACACCTAACAACCCTGCTCTGTTTCTTAGAATTAAGGCCCGGCGTTTGCAAAAGGTTGGGAGACGAGATCTGGTCATAAATTGGGACTAGTTAATGGTTACCAATACTAGTCCCTAGGGTTGTGTATTGTAAGTATGTATGTATGTATGTATGTATGTCTGTATGTGTGTGTGTGTGTGTGTGTTGATTGTTCGCTGCAAAGCCGGGCCACAGGCCTGTCCTTCAATGCGTAAAGCGCGAAAGTATGTGTGTGTATGAATATGGACATAATATATATATATATATATACACACATGATATCACCAAAAACTAATATTCTAATCTCCCTGGCCCTTATGTAAGGTGGTGCAAGCCATCAGAAAAGCCATCAGAGACTCGAAAGCCTTGGCTTGCAAGCCATCACCCTAAGCCCTCAACCCTGTAAATCCGAGTGTGAGCGCCGAAACCCTAAACCCCAAACCCTAAGAGCCATCAGAAACCTGAAAGCCTTGGCGTGGATTTCCTAAACCAGACGGGCCTCCACTCAGTTAAGGTCTCATGCAGGGTTTTTAGGGTTCAGAACGGCTTTTGACTAGAGTCTAGAGGCTGACCCTCAACTCCGAGCCCCAATAGTCCATCCGCAACCTCGCAAGCTTCAGCCCTAAACGACCCTTGAGTGTGTCTAACTTCGGGATATTTTGTCAGATTGGGGTTTCGGCGTCGGGTAAGCCCTCCATGGCCCAAAACCCTGAACCCAAGTCCGAAACCCTAGAACCCCCAAGTCTTAGGTAGATGGCTTTCTGTGCAAGAGTGCTGTGTCATGGAGGCCCGGGGACGGGACAGCTCAGAGGCCACAACAAGGGTTTGCAGTTTCGGCCATGGGGTTTAGGATTAAAGACTTCTTGTTTGAATGCCTAATACTCGCATGAGGTCCAGATGCAAAATCGGGTCCAGGATGTCGGGTGCCGGTGTTATCCGGAGCTGCGTCTAGCAGAAAATTGAAGCCGATATGGTTAAATTACTAAAACTATTGCTTGCGGATCCTTTTAAGATGCCCCACAATATTTTTCTAATTTTGACGTCGCTATGGCTATATCAGCATGATGTTCCCTGAGTTCCTCGCCTAAAGTTTTCTTAGATATGATCGTGAGTTCTTCGCCTTCCTGCCTTGAGGGATATTGGGTTTTAGGGCTTGGGGATGCTTAGGGTTTAGGGTTTGGGGTTTAGGGTTTGGGGTTTAGGGTTTAGGGCCAATGGCTCTAGAAAATAAGCCATTGCAGCAGAGGGGGGAATAGGTCTGTGCTGTGTATCTTTTCATTCTTATGTCTACATTTGCAGCCATAGGGCATAGTATCACCGTTCATCAGGCCCCTATCTTGGAATCCTTAAACGTAACCCTTTGTAGAAGCCTGTCGAAAGCCGCGTAGCAACTAGCAAGCGGTACAATGGTCAATGTGAGGTTCAGTTTGGGGTGTATGTCTAGGGCTGTAGAGGGATTCAGGTTTTCGGTTTTGAAGCTTTGTTTTACGTTTAGCTTCATGTACGGCTATGTGATTTTAGGGTGCAGGTCTTGACATGAAGGCTTTCGTGTTAGTTTCTCACAATTGCACATAAGGCCTCAACCCTTAGCCCTCGCTGAAGCAGCATGCAAGCCTGTCCCTGCTAGCCTCTAGTACGACTGTTTTTTCGTTTTGTGACGAGGCTTATACCGGTTTCTAGATTCTGGTTTGTGTTTTCCGTGCTAGCCGCTAGCCTCTCTCACGACTGTTTTTCATTTCCGTGAGCGGGCTTATACCGGTTTCTAGATTCTGGATTCTGGTAAATAGCTGTGTCGCGGTTTTGGCACGGAGTTCACTGAAAGTCAGCATCGCGAAGGTTTATCGCAAGTAATCAGCTTTCCTTGTGATTCTGCCAGCTTGAGCGAAGTTCCATGAACAGATCGTCGGCATTTTGATGCTTCGGTACCCCTAAACCCTAAACCCTAGACTTGCATGGCAGGGTTTTCGAAGGCCGGAGCCCAAAAACCGAAAGCCTCAACCATGACGGTTAGGACCCGGAACCCTACGCTCCGGCTTCAACCCGAAACCCACAAGGCAATTTTTTAATCTGACATTTACTATAGTATCCTTGGGAATGATTTTTTCATTTTTGTTCATATAAAACACCAGAGAATATTGACAATAGTAGTTTTGTTGTGGTTCTGGGGGGGGGGGGGGTTATAATTTAGGGCCGCGTGAGGGTTTGGGATAGGGTATTGGCGGGCAGAACTCAAAGCACCCTACACCTTCACCTCGGTAACCCTAAACCAGACAGTCCCCGATATTCCCCATTTGTGGGCCTCTTAAAAAGCATAGTTGGCAACCCAAAGCCCCGTGTTCGGGCTTCACCTCGCCCTAGAGAACCTACCCGTTAGAGAACCGTCCGTTTTAAGGACTTCTATAAGAAATTCAGATTAAGTAGCCCTAAAAAGGTAGGTTTTTTGGCCCAGGCAGGGTATATGTTTGACGGTTGAGGCTTTGGGCCCGGAGTCTCAAAGCCGCAAGCAGTCCGATGCTAGACTGAAGCCTTCTTTCAAAGTAGGGTCGAGTTTTTAGGGTTGTCGTATGTAGGGTTTGGGGTTTAGAGGCTGCTAAACTTGACGGCAATTCGATTTGGCATGAAGTTTCTGGAGACGCTAAGGTCTACCATCGGGATGTTTCGACAAGGTCTTCCTGGCTATTGTATTCCGAAGTCTGACTACTCAGTCTATGACTATGTGCCACACATGCTGGGAGGTTGTATAACAGCACCAAGTCCGGTGCAAATCCTCGACCGGCTTCCGATGAAGCGCGGCAAGCCGGAACCTCGAAAATGGATACAGACCCTTGGGAGTAAATCGCAACAGCCGGATCTCAGCTTCGACCAAGTATCGAAGTTGACTCGGGCAGCTTCTTTCACGACTTGTTCTTTGTTAACCCAAAGTTCAGCATGCAGGTTTAGTTCCGGAGCAGCGCGAACCCTGGCTGTCCTGTGAGAAGTGACGGTTATGAATAACGTGCCCTTGTTTTCTGAAACCTAAGCCCCTAATCCCGAACTGTCCTGGCTTGCGAGTGAATCCATGGACCCGAAGCACTGAATCCTTAAACCCGAGCCCACCAAACCTTATCCCACGTCTTGGGAAGTTGCAGTATACAGGCTTCTCTGGCATAATGAAGGTCTCCTGAATCAGTGGATCCTGTTTATGAGACGGACTCCCGACACAACGAGAAATGGAGACACGTAGTCTCAGACCTTGAACATCTGCACCTTGAGCCGTGTGGCAGAACCAAATCTTTCACATCTCCAGATCGCTGGAGTCGGATGCAGGGGCTCCATGGTTAGAAGTTGGCCCCAGCAGCAGGGTTGACTCAGGCGCAAAATGGCTAGGAATCGTGCTCAGAAACGTTGTGCTTGCACGCTAGAACCTCGCCTGAGTCCGAAAACCTGGCATTTAAATCCTGGCAGCAGGATCGCAAGTTCTCTGAAACGATGCGGCGGAAGCTTTCGGAGCTCGGGGCCGTGCCTTGTCGTACTGGTGTTCGAACCTACCGTGATTGCAGTTCCGGGATGTTCCGGGGTCATCTTGCCTCAACTCCTGATTGAATCGTTTTTCAAGTTAAGATGCGGGGTCATCTTGCCTCAACTCCTGATTGAATCGGTTTTCAAGTCAAGATGTCGGGCGCATAATTGCATAGGATACTTAAAGACTTTTCAGGCCTATACCCAGGGCTTGCCCAGACCATATCACTCCAACCCTCGAAATTGCCAGGTTCGGGGGAGGCAGTCTTATCCCAGAGGTTTGAGGTTAGGGCTGTCATGATGCTTTTTTGTGGGTGTTGATTCGAGGCAGTCCTCCTTTCTCGAAGAGATCTGTCATCCGAGTCAACAGGTTGCAATGTGTTTCGTATGATATGATGAGCAGTGCCCTCTCGAGTCAATCTCAAGCTCACACATTGTTGCCAAGGAGCATACGGATCTACACTTCGTTTCTAGCTTAGAAGCAGGCGTCAAATCATCAGCATTCTCAGCAGCCCTCACTCAGCATTCCGCAACCTCGACACAGAATCGAGAGGTGCAGCCTCAGTAGGGAATGTAGGAATGGGGTACAATTATAACTATTATTGCTACCATTCTTCTATTCTCAACTAGCCAAAGGTAAGGAAAGGCTTGCTTGGTTCGGGTTCGGCAACGGCACGGTACAAGGGTTAGGCTGGGAGCTTCCCACTCGGAGCTGCTTGTCGTCTGAACCGAGTTTACCTGCACCCCAGATGTATGGAGAATAAGAGCCTTCTTTCGGTGTTGGGTCATTATGTTGCTTACTTTTGGCAGTTTGGGTAAGCCTTAAACTTCTAATACAGGGGCCTTAATCGTTCTATTTCGGGGTTCCTTCTTATTAATGACTATAGTATATTGGGCCCCAAAACCCTGTTCTAGTCTTGCTCTAATGTTTAAGGCCCCTACATTATCGCAATCCCGCCGTGGACCTCATAAGCTCAGGTGCGGGAGCTCGAGCTGCACTATGCGATCGTGCTCAAGGACGTCCTTTGTGGTGTTTAGGGTTTAAGGTTTCACTGCGTTGGCTTTCCTTTGGTGTAGAGGTCCTAAGCCAATTGGACCTCCATCTAGTCCCAAGAACCCCTAAATCAAAAGAGCGGGTTCGGAGATCCATAAGAAATATCTGGACCCTCATACGAATATAGGGTTTGGGGGTATATTTTGTGCAATAACTATGATATGCAACCCCCAAAATAGTATAGGAAATTATTGAGGCCCCCATAAGAGCCCGTAGCTCCTTGCTGAAAGGGGCCTGAGAAGCTGCGAGTCCCCCCAAACCTTAAATCCTAAACCGGACGCATGAATGGGAGAAAAGGGCCGTCTAAAAAAAAAAAATCCTAAACCGTCTAGGGCTCTCTTTAGCCCGTAGCTAATTTGTCTGCAGCTAGAGCGACCAGAGCCTGGAATTTCAGACTCCCTGCAATGCGGGCTTCGTCCTTGCTAGGTAGGAGGGAACAAAGCCGTCTAGGATGGGGCCACAGGCGCAATTCGGTGACTCTGGTTAGGGTTTAGGGTTTAGGGTTCACGGTGATTTTTTCCTGTGCCCCGCCTGGCGCGTAAGAGAGATCCAGATCCAAAAGACACGCTTGGTTTAGATTTGTCGATCTGAACCTTTTGCCTCTAGGCTTCGGGATGGTGTTCTAGTCTGGAAGGATTTGAGAAGTTACGGCACCGACGGCAAGTGCGAAATAACCGATGTCTCCACAAATCTGCCTTTCAACCCGCAAAGCCTGAGGAGCCCCTCATTTCTTTCGGCGTTCGAGAGTGGCCCACAGAGGAGCATCGCATTCACAGCCGCTGCGTCTGGAACTATGGGCTTTTTCGTGCAAAACCCCAAACCTGAACCCTTCAGCCTAATCCCGGAACCCCACATGGACTCATGAACCTGCCTGACAGCTTGAAGATTCAAGCTCTAATTACGGACCTTTTTGTCCCGGGGTCCTCGAACCTAGACCTAAAACTTCGTAGTCGACATTGATAAAGGTGATGAATTTGCCAGCAATCCTCAACTACTCGTACTTTCTAGAGTATAAGTACCCACCAGTAAGGACCAGAAGCCCGCTGTTCAAGGGTGCTTTGACAATCAGTTTTTTTCCGCATCGTCATCAGTCTGGTCACCATCATCACTATGAACATGGCCTCTATCAGTACCACAACAAGAACAGTGGAAGGGTAGGATGAAGCTGTTTTTGCAACAAACCGATGTTGCAAGCATCTCCGCCCCGTGCAGGTATCGCGCGGGCCGGGCGAGACAAAAGCCTTGATCATGCGCTGAGGACGTGGGCGCTTGCTGGAATTCTGTTATAATGCCCCTTCTAGGTGGCAATTTGAGAAACTTTTTAATTCCCCTTATGGCATTATGGTTCCCATGGAGGTACCTATTCATAAATACTTTTCAGAGCCTCTAAACTACCACCCAGCCTTTGTTAAACGGCACATGCTAGAACCCTATATCCTCGCCGCTGGCTTGCAGACAGGATCGCTAACTGCTTGATGGGCGACCTTTTCCGATGGCTTGGCCCAGGCGCTGCCCTGAAGCCTGCCTACCTTGGAAACCTAGTTGCTTGAAAAATGCGGCAACTGCCGAAAGTGGCAGTTTTTCTTTGCTAGTGGCATTTTTTGGTTTTTAGGGTATGGGTGTTTTAATGCTTTGTTGGGTTTGGGACTGGCTTCTCGGCTTAAACTGCTACTTAAGGGTGTGATCTCAAATACACCCATGCGAAGAAGACGCCTTTTCGCCACCCATCTCTCTCGGCTTCGACCGATCACGCATCAAAGCATATGCTATGTAGCACTTGAACAGCCACTGCAGAATTTATCAGCACATACGAGCCTATAGCGTACAAATGCTGGTCTTTACTATTACCACACCGATCTAGCTGTCCCAGTGCTGCCAGAGCTGAATGGCATACCTCGCCAACACCTGCGTGTGGCACGACCTGCGTGCGACTGCCGTCGACAAGGCCGAAACCTTTCCAACGAAGTCTTCGTCACTCTGGCATGAATATGTGACGGGATTAATTACCCAGCTTGCGTGTGGAGTAACCATGAGCTCACGTCTGACGTAGTCGATGATCTCGGTGAGCGCGTGATATTTTGGAGTAAGCTTGAACCGGGTCTTGCGCTGCTGCAGTGCTTCGTACGCAGCAGTGAAGTAGAGGTTGAGGAATTGGTAACCTGTCGACACAATGACGTTCCCATTCGCACGGCTCACAAAGAGGCCATGCCTGTACAACATGTGCATCAGTTGGTTTGATACCCGCAAGGCGCCGTGGATGGCGATCAGATATGCACTCGGATTTTGCTGCTCGGCAATGCGATTGGCATAAACCGTTTCCAACCAGCGACATACTGCGGCAGTATCTGCACCCTTGAACCAAGCCCTCGGCTGTCCCAATCTTTCGAAATCCCTATATTACGATAGTAATTAAGCAATTATACACCCTGATGAATCATCGCCATATGAGTCCTTATAACTAATGGTCGACCTCCAGCACAGACACAGTTAAAGCGATCTATACGGTCCAGACCCCATATACTCTCGAACAACATAGCAGTTTTAATAATTAAGCAGAAGTACATATACTGCAAAGCCAGAAAAAACAAATCAAATCAGAACACGTCACCCACAAGGATAGTCGGCATCCTTCGAAAAAGCTAGCAAAGTTCTGGTCAGCCCAGACATGTGTAGTGGCAGGGAGTTGTCCTGACAGTACTTGGCCAAGTCATTGTAGAGCGACTCCAACTGAGCCGGAACGTCACCGAGGCCTGCCCAGCCAAGATCCATCAGGGCCACCTGAATAAGAAACTAATAGGAATGTTACTATTAATAGGGTATATATCCTATATACAAATCGCCCGACACCCATAGACCCCGTAAGCCGAAACCAAAAGTTTGGACAGCTAAAATTTTTAGGGTATAAGGTTTAGGGTAGGGTTTAGGGTTTAACCGGTCAAATGTAGCAATGCCACAATGGCACTGCCAGCCAATTCCGCGAAGATCCCCTTGTGACACGTATGAAAAATGTCGTACCGGTACCACAAAGCGGAGTGTTGTGGCAGGACTGAGAAGGGCGGCACGAAAGTCGGTTTGTGGGGCTGATGCTGCAGGCACGTGGCCCGCCACGTAGCCGTTTCAGTGTAGTCGTGGTACGGGTGTGAGGGTCGTCCAGCATAGCAAAGATGACAAATACCTTGAGCATTCGCAGCAGAAGATTTCCTGCCAAAAAATCGTGCCAGCCGTCCTAATTTAGCGAGCAGCGGCCAGTCTCCCTTGGCCGCGACCACACAAACATAGATCGTGATGCGAACATTGCGAACCACTAGGGTGCACCCCTCCTCAAACAAACGCACCAACTCGGCAGCGACGCTTTCCCATGCAGCATACAGCGGCCTGTCATTTTTCTTGTAAGCTTGTTTCAGCATGACAAACAGCAGGAGCCTCGTAGCCCAGGTAGTGAATTTCATGTTCGTGTGCAGCTCACTCGAATCATAATCAGGGTCGGGGTTGCTGCCAAGCACTGGCTGCAGGTTGCAAACCATAATGCTGCTTTTTTTCAGGGTGCGGCCCTCATCGCTATGAATGTAGCAAGGAATCACAAACTTTTCACGGCCGTCATGGTAAGAAAATGTAGGATGCTCTGGGTCTATAGCCTTGTATCTCTTCCAGTACTCTTCCACCAGGCTGAAGTCATCCACGTGGCCGAGCAATAGAGATAGCTTGTTATGCAGACTGAATACTCGAAGGTATGATTCAACCCGAAAACACGGATAACGATCTCCACCCACTTCGATTTCGTCCATAGGCATCGGGCACGAAAGGCCCATATCTTTCAGGATTTTCGAAGTAGTGTTTTCATGCTTTGTTTTGCGCTTCCGATGCAACCGGCGCAATAAGTCCGAGCTCTCCAGATCAGCATCAGGATTAGCATTCGTATGCTCCTGCCAAAAGCCTGCAGCGATGTCACAAACCATCCGGTCAGAAACCTGGGGGGCGCATTGCAAACAATTGTCAAGTATAGCTGCCTACGACAGACCAACCAATATCGAATCCCAAAGACCCATAAACCGTGAACCCTAAACCCAAATCGAGAAGTGTACCAATCAAAACCCAAAGCCGAAACCCCAAACCCTAACCCGGGCCCTAAGCCTAAACCCAAAACTCGATCCAAACCCTAAGCCCAAACCCTAAGAATAAGCCCGATCGATCTATTATTCGTGCTCCGCCACGCCAGCAGCACTTGCCCGTGCCAAGGCATTTGCAGCTGGTCCAGCGTGGACTCGATCTCGATTCTCAGTACCTGCCGCTGCGCCGCTGTGGCGTTGGTTGATCTTTGGGCGGATTATGACAGCTTAAGCCTTCTGAAATTCGAAGCTTCGTGGCTATAGAGGTTTTATGTACACAACATATTTATGATCAGGAGATGTATAATAGAGAGACGAGAGAGTGAGCTAGGGAGAGGGAGAGGGAGAGAGAGAGAGAGAGAGAGAGAGAGAGAGAGAGGGGGAGAAACGGGACACAGGTTAAGGACGCAGATGGGTAGCGAAACGGGTAAGCATCGGTCACCTAAAATTTAGGTGACCCAAATAAACACTCAGAGTCGGTCACCTAAAATTTAGGTGACCCAAATAAACACTCAGAGAGAGACAGAGAGAGAGAGAGAGAGAGAGAGAGAGAGAGAGAGAGCGAGAGAAAAGATCAGAGAGGAGAGAGAAAGAGAGACAGAGATAGAGAAGAACGATCGAGAAAGAGAATGGGGGACGGAGAGGGATAGGTGGGAAGAGAGAGAGAGAGAGAGAGAGAGGGAGAGCAACGTCAATTTGGTGAATCAGATTGAAAAGCACGGTAACCACACATGGATCGTTCAATGTATATACATAAGGCAAAGGCCATTCATGATCTGCAGGCATGTTCATGCAGTCGAGGCAGAAAACCTACAATGATTGCATTTATGAAGTTGAAGCCTTTGGGCTAAGGGGACTTTCTAGTTTAATGCAGATTTGTGTTAGGACCATCCTTGGGAGGCCTTTGGGGTTCTGGGCGGTGTGTCAAAGGAAGAGCTTCGGTTATTGCAAGATCGTAGCCAGACTTCTGAAGCGTAGCTTTTTGGTATGACTCCCGGCTAATCTTCGGGAGTTTGGAGTTTGGGGACTCTATATACTTTCAGCCTAGAGATCGGCCGTCTTAATGCATAGCGATTGCATGGGGACTTCCGGCTTAGCTTCGGTATACATGCGGGCAGATTAAGCTTAATGGTTCAGCTTGTGAACGATGTTCCGCTACTGATCGCAAGACCTCGATAGGGGCTCAGGTTGTGTATGATCATATTTTTACGGGGTAAGGTAATTCGGAGCCTTGGGTCCCTCAGGATTAGGGCTTATTATGGTCACTATATAGCACGGGCCACAGCTTTGCATCTCGATCTGCAGCGGCGCGACTCTAGGCCCTGCGTCCGAGAGAGCCCCGAATTGAACTCGCAGTGCGCAGCCGACCCCTTCCTGGAATCACAAATTGAGCTACGTTCTGTGCCTAAATAGGGTTTAGGGTTTAGGGTAGTATGGGGGGTTCGATTGCGCACACGGAACCCAGACCGACACTTCACGGCCAAACCTTGCACTGCATCGAGTTTAACACAGTGCGAACTGAAGCAGAACTTCATGCCTTCCAGCAAGTGAGCATCATGATCTGCATAAGTTGACGTTTGGAGCTTAGGGGTTCAGAGAGAACTGCAAATCTCATATCCCTAGATCAATAGCTCACTTACGATTGTTTTTGCCCTTAGCCTTAGCCTTTGCTTTGCAAACCGGCTTGGCTTTTGCCTTAGCCTTCGGCTTCGGCACTGGCTCCTCGCCTTCTTCAGATTCCTCCCCCTCAAGATCATCATCATCATCATCATGCTCATTTCCCGGTGCGACACGCCTTGTGCGCTTGGGATTCGCCTTTGCCTTTGCTTTGCCAGCAGCCTTGCGAAGATAAAGCCTCGGTAGTACATATGTGCGAATCACGACTCAACACCCACACTCTGTTATGTATGAGCATACAGAAATAATACGACCAGGACCGTCTGACTTTGTTCTCCTCCATGACCATCTTGCTGCACCTTGGTTGGGTGGCATCCGAGGTTCCTCGATCTATTCGCTGGCGGACGATTGCGGCCAGCACATGATGCATCATGGAGGCTGGGCACAGGCGCATGCATAAGTTCCGACAGGGCGCTCGACTTCCACTTCGCTGAACTTGCGCTTCAAGCTAGTGGCTGCCCTAGGATATGAGATTTAAAGCACAATCAAAAAACTTTGCTTGCATTTGCTTGGTGCTGCCTGGTAGCTCCTGATCCTTCTTGACCGTAAAGTTCGCCTTTATATCAGCGATTTCATCGTGAAGTGTCATAAGTTTGTTTGCGTGCTGCTCGAGCTTGGTCGTCCTTAGTTGGTTCGGTGGGTATTAATTGAGGGAACGGGGTTCGCTCCAGGCATGTATATATATATATATATATATATGTATACATATATGTCGGAGCACTC